TCTAAATTGTTTTGGGTTTCCGAGGAAACATTTGAGAGGCATTGGTCATGATGTTGTATCAAAAACTCGAGTATGAAACAACCATCCACAAGCATCATTTTATGAAAATCTTTATCACACATATGTATGGGTTCTGCATAGTAATTTCGAGCATTTTTCACCCAATTTTGAGTAGCTTTCACAAGGAGCTCCAACGAGTTCATCTTGTTATCTAGACGGTTTAGAAAGTCAACACAACGTCGAAGCTTATATTGTTCTGTGGCTATCAAATCCTTTCGACGATGGTGAAATGGACCTATGGAAATGACTTGAGGGGTATAGGCTGCATTATTCATCTTACGTAGCAATTTAGGAACTCGATAGATACTACATTCGAAATTAGGGGGAGGAAGTTGTTCCATCATTTTTTTAATGGATATTACAACATCACCACAAGGTTGTTCAACTTGTTCAACTTCACTAATTTTTGCCATATTGTACAGTATGTCGTTTGCTTGATGAGCTTCCATCCCACGTTTTTAAATTTCCTTGAATAAAGAGTAATGCATATATATTTTTAAGATGATCTAAAATAACGAAGCAAAAATGAATTTAATGCAACAAAAGGTTACCTTGTCTGCAAATCGAGAGAAGAAGATGTTGGTGGTGAACGAAAATGAGAGAAGACTGGAAGAGAGGTGTGGCGTAAGAAGAGAAGGTATGGAAGTGGAAGAATTAATAAGGCAAGCTTCCGATAACCACGAATACTACTAATGGGCATCGAACATAAACGATCATGAGGAGGAATAAACATAGACAACGAAAGAGCAATGACAAGCTCGGGTCCTCTATTTCTAATTATTCCAACCACTCTTCTCTTCCATCAACTTTCTCTGAAATGTCAAGATATGTAGCATCAAATGTTTTCGTATGCATATCTCCGATAGAGGATTCATCGCTACCAGTATATCAATTTAAAGTCATAACTTAACTAAATCGGTAGAGATGTCTTATTAATTAAGAACTAGTTTGTTATCCAATATTGAACCTAGAACCATTTGTAAAGCGTCTTTATACTAAAGCATTATGCTTTATTTTTCTAACCCCTTTTCTTTTCTTCTCTTTTCTATATGGATACGCATGTCATCTCGTGATTCCTTCTCATTTTTGAAGGTCGAGGAAAGTGGCTTTAACTACAAGCCAAGATATTTGGCTCCTCGTCCTTTCATTTTCCCATTTACATTTGGAACATAGAATTAAGAATCCTCATTTTTTTTTTTACGTGTTTCCATTTTTTAAAAAATAAATATTATTACGATCCATTTGTATATTAGTTATGAAGTTAAAGATTAAGTTTTAGCTCATAGAATAAGATGACAAGAAAATTAATATGCGACGAACAATAATGGAGATAGTAAGATTACTTTTTACTTGGTAACAGACATAAATATAACATGTTTATTTGAAAAACACGAGTAAATATAACGTGTTACAAGATAAAAAGAGAAAGGGAATAAAATTAAAACAAACGTACATATATTATATGGAATTCTTTGGGTTTTTGGGAAAGGCTGACATCGCAGAGAACATAGTTTGTAGGAGAGTAAGAATAATGAGTAAATTTGCAGCAATGAAGGAGATAGCAGCCCATGGCGTATTGAAATAGTTATGTTTGAGTGAAGCTTTCGCCTTGTTCCATCTTTTATTACAATGATCACGTAAAGCTTTGCTGATCTCGTTGAACTTATCATCACATCGCTCTTCAACAAATTTGCAGAGATTGTTGAACAATTTTGAAACTTCTTTATTGCTGCCTCCAATATCATTGATTATGATTTCGGCTTGCACAAGTAAACTCACGTCTTTCTCTGTGCTTATCAAATCATCCATGAATGCGATATATTGGATACACTTACTCTTGTTTCCCAAGGGAAAATGCTCAAATGCTATTAAATTTCGCATGATGGGTTCGAAGAAATCATCAATAACTAAAGGTGGGATTGTTAAAATCCCATTTTTGAAGTTTATGTCCATCGTATTTTTGGCCTCTTTTGCTTTCTTAATGGTGACACCAGCTTCATAAAGTTCAGTTATCGATGGAGGAGTTCTCTGACAACGATTATTTTTGTTGTCCTTTAGAATTTTATTATCGACGACAAAGTAGAAACTTAAGAAATCGACGAAGTGCTTTGGTTTTGTCAACGATGAATCAAAAAGAGAATAATTGGCAATAAGTCTAGGTAATAAAAACTCATGTGTTAATGTTAGAAAGGGGATGGTGATTTTATTTTGTGGTATAAGATGGAAGAGACGTTGAAGAACAAAGAAAGGGACTTGATTTTCCAACATAACCAAATCAGTATATATCTCATGATATCTTTGGTGGAAGGAAAGATCTAAATTGTTTTTGGTTTGGGAGGAAACATTTGAGTCATAATGTTGTATCAAAAACTCCACTATGAAACAACCATCCACAAGCATCATTTTATGAAAATCTTCGTCACTCATATTTACGGGTTCTGCATAGTAATTTCGAGCTTCTTTCACCCAACTTTGAGTCGTTTTCACAAGGAACTCCAATGAGTTCATCTTGTTATCTAGACGGTTTAGAAAGTCAACACAACGTCGAAGCTTATATTGTTCTGTGGCTATCAAATCCTTTCGCCTACGATGGTGAAATGGACCTACGGAAACGACTTGAGGGGTATAGGCTGAATAATTCATCTTACGTAGCAATTTAGGAACTCGATGGATACTACATTCTAAATTTGTGGGAGGCAATTGTTCCATCATTGTTTTAATGGATATTACAACATCACCACAAGGTTGTTCAACTTGTTCAACTTCACTATGTTCACCTTCACTAATTTCTGCCATATTGTATGATATGTCGTTTGCTTGATGAGCTTCCATCCCTCGTTTTAAAATCTCCTTGAATAAAGAGTAATGCTTATATATTTTAAAAATGATCTAAAATAACGAAGCAAAAATGAATTTAATGCACCAAAATGCAACTAAAGGTTACCTTGTCTGCAAATTGAGGGAAGAAGATGTTGGCGGTGAACGAAAATGAGGGAAGAACGGAAGAGAGGTGTGGAGTAAGAAGAGAAGGTATGGAAGCGGAAGAACTAATAAGGCAAGCTTCCGATAACTACGAATACTACTAATGCGCGCCAAACATAAATTACGATGAGGAGGAATAAACATAGACAACAAAAGGGCAACGAGAAACTTGTGTCCTCTATTTCTAATTATTCCACTTACTCTTCTCGTCCATCAACTTTCTTTTCAACTTGTGCCTCTCCTATTTCTCTTAAATCACAACATATGTAGCACCAAATATCTACGTATGTATATCTCCGATAGAGGATTAATCACTACAAGTATATCAATTTAAAGTCATAACACCTTTTTACTAAAGCATTATGCTTTATTTTTCCAACCCCTTTTCTTTTCTATATGGATACAGATGTCGAGATTCCTTTCTATTTTTGAAGGTCGAGGAAAGTGGCTTTAACTACGAGTCAAGATATTTGGCTCCTCATCCTTTTATTTTCCTGTTTACATTTGAAAAGGAGAATTAGGAACCCTCGTTTTCTTTTTCGTGTTTCCTATTTTTCGAAAAACGGATATTATTATGATTCATTTGTATCTTAGTTACGAAGTTAAAAGATTAAGTTATAAGTCTCGAGTATTACATTAAATGATACATACAGCAGAGAAGAGATAATGAATGGGCTGGGCCGAGTTTGGAAATAGAGAAGAGAGAATGTTAAATGAGCTGGGCCGAATTTGGAAATAGAGAAGAGAGAATGTTAAATGGGCTGGGCCGAGTTTGGAAATAGAAAAGAGAATGTTAAATGGGCTGGGCCGAGTTTGGAAATAGAAAAGAGAGAATGTTAAATGGGCTGGGCCGAGTTTGGAAATAGAAAAGAGAGAATGTTAAATGGGCTGGGCCGAGTTTGGAAATAGAAAAGAGAGAATGTTAAATGGGCTGGGCCGAGTTTGGAAATAGAAAAGAGAGAATGTTAAATGGGCTGGGCCGAGTTTGGAAATAGAAAAGAGAGAATGTTAAATGGGCTGAGCCGAGTTTAGAAATAGAAAAGAGAGAATGTTAAATGGGCTGGGCCGAGTTTGGAAATAGAAAAGAGAGAATGTTAAATGGGCTGGGCCGAATTTGGAAATAGAAAAGAGAGAATGTTAAATGGGCTGGGCCGAGTTTGGAAATAGAAAAGAGAGAATGTTAAATGGGCTGAGCCGAGTTTGGAAATAGAAAAGAGAGAATGTTAAATGGGCTGGGCCGAGTTTGGAAATAGAAAAGAGAGAATGTTAAATGGGCTGGGCCGAATTTGGAAATAGAAAAGAGAGAATGTTAAATGGGCTGGGCCGAATTTGGAAATAGAAAAGAGAGAATGTTAAATGGGCTGGGCCGAATTTGGAAATAGAAAAGAGAGAATGTTAAATGGGCTGAGCCGAGTTTGGAAATGAAAAGAGAGAATGTTAAATGGGCTGGGCCGAATTTGGAAATAGAAAAGAGAGAATGTTAAATGGGCTGGGCCGAATTTGGAAATAGAAAAGAGAGAATGTTAAATGGGCTGAGCCGAGTTTGGAAATAGAAAAGAGAGAATGTTAAATGGGCTGGGCCGAATTTGGAAAGAGAGAAGAGAGCATGTTGAATGGGCTGGGCCTCATATTGGGCCCTGAAGAATTGTATTGAGCTGGTCTGTTTTAACACCTCTAAAGAGTACGAAACGCTTCTTCCCAACTCCCAAGCCTACACCCAACATCCAATCCTGGTCGTCTGATGTATATCCCATCCAACGACTTACAACCCTACACGTTCCCTTAACTAATACCTTTGATTTCCCTAATTTCTCATGGCCAGAACGCTTCCACGTTTGCATGTTGTGAGCCGTTGGATGAAAAAACATTCAACGGCGTGAATCCCTCTGTCTCCGCTTTCTGAGTTAATTTTCGGAGTGAAGCTTTTATTATGTCCCGCTCTTTCTCCCTCACTATTCTATAAAATATCTGAAAAAAAAAAAAAAAAAGAATTTGTCCGGTCTTGTCTCTGTTTGTACGAAGAAATGCAGGAGCAAGCGACGAGTTCCGCCGCCGCTAGCTCTTTACCTTCGAGCAGTGAAAGATCGTCCAGCTCTGCTCTTCACCTCGAAGTGAAAGAAGGTTAATCTTCTTTCTGTTCTTTCTTTCTCTGTTTCGAGCTTCTTGATTTTTTATTTACAGATTTTTCTGTAATTTTGTGTGAATGGGTGTTTTGTTGGGACTGAATGGGGCGAGAAATTTAGGAATAGAGAGTGATGAAGAGATCCGGAGAGTGCCGGAGATAGGCGGCGAATCCGCCGGAACATCGGCGTCCGGCAGGGAGACCAGTTCGTTGGCCGGTCCGGACCGGGTTCAGGTTTCTCGGGAGAGTCAAAGGAAGAGAGGGAGAACTCCGGCTGACAAAGAAAGCAAGAGATTGAAGAGGTGAGCCAGACGCGGGTCGTTTTGGTACTTTCACGTTTCAATTAATAATTTATATTTTCAATAAATAATTTATAATTATTTTATAAAATAAGGGATAAAAAAATATTCGAATTTAATTTTTTTTTTTTATATTCTTACATATAGTTTTGAAATCAATTTCCATTTATTCTTCTAAATGAATTTATTATTATTATTATTATTTTAATATTCTTAAATGTTGACTTTTTATTATTCTTACATATAATTTTTTAAATTAATTGTGAAAATTAATTAATTAATATTTTGTATAATTTATTTTTTAATAGACTATTGAGGTTTTGAAGCTATTTGTGTTATGTTTAATAAAGATTGCTGAGAAATAGAGTATCAGCACAGCAAGCGAGGGAGAGGAAAAAGGCGTATTTGAATGACTTAGAGATAAGGGTGAAGGATTTGGAGAAGAAGAACTCTGAACTTGAAGAAAGGCTTTCCACTTTACAGAATGAGAATCAGATGCTTAGACAAGTACGTTTTATTTATTCCCTAATTATATTATTAATAATTTCAAGTTGGTTTCGTTCGGATTGGAAGAACGATGAGCGTTTGATGAACGAGTATCGAATTTGTTTTAACGCATACCGATTTGATTGCGAATTGTAGATTTTGAAGAACACAACGGCAAGTCGGAGAAGTGGGGAGTGAGGATGTGAAGTAGAGATGTATTTAGATGTTTGAGGCTTTCATGAAACAGGTTGCTTATATAACCTTCGCAACAACCAACTTTTAACTTGAAACGTTGAGATCGTCTTGTTCGGTATGTTCTTAAGGTATAAAGCACGACGTGGTTTCATGGAAGAGCGACTTTACTGCTGAAATACTATGCATGTTTCGTCGTTTAGGATATGTTCTGTCTGTATGTAATAGACAAGTAAACGCATTCATTCTTTAGAATGACCAATTCCTTTGTTCACCGCATCCAAGTTCCTGTTCTTTAATGAATTGGAGCTGTGGCTCCATCCATGAATCCTGACGAACCTGAAGAAAAATTTGTCTTTCTTTAGGGGTTTCGAACGGTAAAAGTGACCGACCTGTAAGAAAAATCTGTCTTTGTTTAAGGGTTTCGAACGGTAAAAGTGACCAACCTGTAAGAAAAATCTGTCTTTGTTTAAGGATTTCGAACGGTAAAAGTGACCAACCTGTAAGAAAAATCTATCTTTGTTTAAGGGTTACAAATGGTAAAAGTGATACAACTGTGAGATCTTAAGAGCTAGTAGTGGGCTTGAGTTTTTACCAATGATATCATAACTAGTCACCGAGCGGTGTGCCAGCGAATACATTGGACTTCAAAGGGGGATGGATTGTGAGATTTAACATGGATTTGAGAGAGGAACAAAACATTTCTTATAAGGGTGTGTAGATCTCTTTTTAACATACGTCAGCAACACGTAACAAACTAAGGTAAACAATATCTATTAGCAATGTGCTTTGACTGTTACAACAACTCGGGACATTACGACATGACATGTTTGACTAGAACATAGACTTCAAACAAATGGAACAAGGTATGAACTAAAAGCTTGTCACTTAGACTTCAAACAAATGGAACAGAGTGTCATATAAGAGATTATCAAAATAAAATAGTTCAAAAGATTCAGCACTAGCCTTTCTAAAAAAGGATCCTTGAACTGAATCTTAGCCAAACAAAACGAAACGCAAAAGAAAAAAACAGGAAAAAAAAAAAACAAGAACAGAAAACAAAACTGTTTTTCCTCTCTAGTTCATAGCATGAATTGGTTGCTGTAACATACCATGAAAGAAAGGAGTCTCTACTCTTCACCATCGTCCTCAACAAGGATCCTCTTGCACGCCTCATAGCACATGAAAGAAATCCCAGCAGCAGGCACCAACTTCATGCAGCTAGGACCAAGCCCTCTGAATAGCCCCGGCATGCCTTCTTTCTCGAATATGCTCACAAGCGCATGGATGACATTCTTATAAACCTGTCTCCCGCTCAGAGCTCCCACCTGCATTTGCTTGCGCGCTACTTCCAGTGGGAACGTAACGCTACTCGAGAAGGCACCAGCTGCCGAGCCAATTAGAAGGGTTTCAATGTTTCCAATTCTCTCTTGCTTAAAAATTTTCCGGTAGGCCTTTCGTAATGTGTCATATGCAAAATAATTAGTTGCAGAATATGGAATCACTCCAATCAGACTGGGAGCAAGCCCTCTGTAGAGTTCGGCAGGCCCTTCTTCTCTAAGTATTTTTAAGAATGCATCAAATAGACCATTGTATGCATCTCTCTGCAACATTCACAAAGTTCTATATAGCACTATCTCATACCAAAAAGGATTCATAGTTGCTTGTATAATCTAGTTACGTAAGTACCTGTATCGTCAATCGGGTTTTGAGTAGCTCGAGAGGATACGTGCATATTGTTGAGCTAACTCCTGCACAGGCCCCAGCGATAAACGAGGCAGAAATGGGAAGCTTTGGAGCCTCACCAGGTTTGGGTGACAGATTCTTGTTGACTGTGTCATACACAAAGAGCTGCACATGGAGTGATGAAGAAAGTTTCAAGACTAGGCATTCAAGATATCAAATGGGTACCTTACAAGCAGCTTCGACGTCGTTCGTGGCTGAACTTTTCACTAATTTGAATCGCAAACGAAATTTAAATTACTGTTTGAAACAGCATGAAACACATGTTACATATTTCAGAAGTATGCTTTTTTATGGTTCAACAATATCAGGTAGATCAAGTAGGATTCAAACAAGGTGATTCAATAACCCCACAACCACAGGTATTATGACACAAGCAATGGAACATCCCAAGCCCGCCGTTAGCAAATATTATCCTTTTTGGACTTTCTCTTTCGCGCTTCCCCTTTTAAAACGCGTCCACCAGGGAGAGGTTTCTACACCCTTATAAAGAATGCTTTGTTCCCCTCTTCAACCGATGTGAGATCTCACAATTCACCCTATTTGGAGGCCTAGCATTCTCACTGACACTCGTTCCCCTTCTCCAATCGATGCGAGACCTCACAAGCACCAAAACAACGTATTGATACTAGTAATACAATCAGGGCGTAAGAACAAATAAGAGTTCAATGCTCCCATGACTCCTCAGCCACAGCCTCTTCCTCAATAATCTATCCCAAACAGTCGTGTAGAATCAATCGAACAAGGAAAAGTATGGGCAAAACAAGAACAAAAACAAGCCACTCACCAACAACTAAGCATGCAGAGATTTGAACTCCCACTCACCAACAACTAAGCATAATAAAATCAGAAAAACAAAGTATATATATCAGAGATTAGAATACCTCTATGGCCTTGCTAGGTGCAACACGAATGATATTAACAAAATTTCCCCTAAAAAGCCCCTTCCACCCATCAGTTTGCATAATATTATGAAACACTTCTGTGGAAGAATTCCCACTACTCCCCACCATTAGATGTGTCCTTATGGTCTCCAATGGCGCCACGCAGGTCCTTGACACTGCCCCAGCAACAGCGCCACTCATCAGCCTCCTCAGTGAAGGATTCGCAACTTTAACTTTCAATTTAAGCCCAACCTTCTTCTTTTTCACAACCCCTTCCTCTTCATTAGCCCCAGGAACCCAAAAACCTTCCATCCAAGATAAATACTTCATGTACAAATCGGCGTAAGGAAGTTTATTGCCGCCATTGTTGCGAGGATTGCTAGAATCTGGGGAAATTCCAAAGCCCACTCCCATCTGCCCCACGCTTGCGAATAAGCCACCAGGCACAAACGTTTCATCCTGAAGACGACATTGAGATCCCAAACCAGAAACCGTGAAGAACCCATCATTTCTATCATTGAAACCTCGAATTTCCTTCCTACCCATAAATCAAAATTGAGAAATCAATCCCTTGACGAACAAATTAACCCCCACTCCCTTTGAAACCTCAAAAACTCTCCAAAGGGTACTCGAATAATGAAACAAATCAACCGAGAACATCCATTTTCAAAGCGGAAAATTCGAGGAACAGATATTATAACAAAGCCGCATGAACTTGTGGCGTTGGGGGAAGGGATTTGTGATTTGGAAGATGAGGGTAAACTCGAATTCGAAGGAAGAAATGGAAAATCAGAAAAACCTAGAAGGAAAGATAGAAGAGAGGCAGATGAATTGTGTCTTTCACCAACCCAAACAGTGCGGCCAAGCTGAAGGATTCGAAGGAAATATTTTAATGGAGGAATACTAAGGTACCTTTGCTGCCTTATTCGCTCCGCAGATTGGCCTCTGTTTGTTTTTTTTCTTTTTTTTTCTTTCTTTTTGTTCTTTCGATATATACTTTGTTTGGTAGCAATTTCTTCTTTCTCGTTCTATTAAAATATTAAATAAAAAATTTCATGAAATTTAATTTAAAATTTATCCAATTTTTTTAACTTTTTTTTTAATTATTTTTTAGTATAAATGGTATCAGGAGCACCGTGAATAAGCTGACCCTTAGAGGAGTGAATTGTGTTGGAACAGGAAACAAAACATTCCTTATAATTGTTTTTCTTTCTTATTAGACATGTTTTAGAACAAAACTTAAAAAGTGACAATATCACTGACGATGTTTAATTACCATTTGATTATTCATTTTTTATTTTTAATTCTTTTCTTAGCTCACGAACATGAGTTCCAGAAATCAAATCTCTAATTACCTTTTAATCAGATGCTCGATGGGCTGTAAAAGCTAATATCGTTCTATCATGTATTAAAATATATGATCCCACTGGGATTAGGATTTGCATTCCATAAGTGATTAGGAGCACTAACTTTTTCCCAAACCCACATGTGATGAAATCAAAATCAAATACAACCTCCTCCCAAAACCATACTATAAATACATATCTAATGCCTAAACCCAACCATATATCAACTCATCACAACAAGCTAGCTCATGGCTCTTCAACACAATAAGCCAACAACAATGGCTCTCCTCTTCTTCTTAGTCTTCGAGCACATTTCCACCGCTTGTGCAGACATTGGCACAGCCATAGTGTACGGCCCTCCATATCTACGTAAGTAAAAGACATTATCTTCGTAAGTAAAAGACATTAAATTTATAAATGATCTTGTACTTGTGTTTGTGTTTGCAGCCACTCGATGTAATGGAAACAACATCGACCAGTTCCCACCTGGCAACTTCTTCGTAGCAGTCAACGAAGGGTTATGGGACAACGGTGCTGCATGCGGTCGTCGATATAGATTACGATGTTTAAGCGGTCGAAATCGCCCATGCAAGACCGACATCATCGAAGTTCAAGTCGTAAACTTTTGCCCTAAGTCGCCATGTCCCTCTTCCTTTCTCATGTCTAAAGAGGCCTTCTCCGCCATCTCTCGTCTCTCTAGTGCCAAACTCAACGTCGAATATATTGAGTACGTAACGTTTTCCCTTACTAAATATATCATAATTCATCGTCCTAAGCGTTTTCTAAATCGTTGCGTGTTTTTGCAGGATATAATATCAGAGGCTTTGCAGCCAGTGGTACCACTTTTGTAATGTTGAGCATTAAATATGCTTTATTTTTCATTTCCATTATGATCATTCAAGTGCATGTCTATCACGTTTGTTCTTTAAAAATGAGGGGCTAAGCTCTAATAGATAAGAATCTTTAAACAAGCTGCAGCTAATCCACTGAATGCCATTTAACAAAGAAGAGAGAGGGTTGATTATGATTTAATTAACAGTTTCCTAATTGAGTTGGTTAGTGGAACAAAAAGAACTAATACTTATAACTTATCTTAATGTATGGTGTATTATTATTATTATTAATCTCTATATACCACCATAAGAGCTAATGGGTATAATGATTATGTGGCCAATAACCCGTCTTTATATTATAAAGAGACCAACTTACGTGCGTGTTTGAATGACGTTTGCGAGGGAGTCATCAAACGATAAAGATATCACAATGTGACTGACTGAAAGTTTCGAATGGTTAAATATATGAGAGAGAAACTGTAAAAGTACTTCACATTCATTACGGTGACATAATTTGTAATA